TTTTACCTTGTGAGTTCCATTCTAATGCTGAGTGTGCAATTTCACTAATCAGCCATATTTCCGCTTAATTATATGCTTCTCAATTCGCTGCTGATTTAGTTCTATGATTCTTATGGTATGTCTGCAGTTTTTGTGAGATCGCGGGCGTAACAAACCACGATTCAGATCCATATAATAAAACACTTTTGACGCAAGCATCGAAAATCGTGATTTTAGTTTTTAAATGCAGGGTTGTTGAACGTCAACTGTTTTTGAGATCAGCGAAGGCATATCTGGCTTTCCGAAGTCTATTGGCTACGTTTTCTGAAGTACTGCTATGGATTTTCTCATAGCAATATTAGTGTTAAGACTCATTGTTGCACACTTAGTTGATAGATCTCTGTAATTTGAAATTTTCATTTCTATTCGAAGCTGCTCTTGTAAATACTTGAATCATTTGGATGTCAAGTACTATGGCGGATAGACCAAAGCACCGTATTTTGGTGATAGGTTTGCTACCTTACATAAAAGATGTTAGATCCTGGGTTTCCGAAACTGCCCCAGTCTTCATGTGGCAATTGGTATTTCCCGTAAGAACCAGATGTTGTGGAACAGTTATACCGCTGAACATTCGGTCGCCATTGCCTCATATGTGTAAAACAGGGATCACCACGAGAAGATTGAGGATGACATTTGAGTAGAGAGGATTTTTAAGATGCATGTATACATCTTGATCTCCTTGATAACTATAGTCCAACAATTATACACAGACTAATGATGAGTATTTGGCAATACATAAAACAGCTACATGGTCAGAGAAAAAATAAAGTTAATTAAAATAAAAAATGGCTTTCGCTCAGTTGGTTAAAGTGCGCTGATTCTGAGCTTCACGAGCTCGACTACTGGTACTTACGGTTTTAATTATTTACGAGTAATTAAATACAAGAATTATTTCTAAGACCATTGATGATGGGTATTTGGTAATACTTGAAATAGCCAAAAATTAAATTAATTAAAATAATATAACAAGAATTTGTGTTGTTGTAGTTCCATTGTTCGAAAAACTTCTTTATTAAAATAAAATTTAGTTAAAAATAATTGTAGTTCACAATTATTCAAAAATTTTTCCAGAAGAAATTTATTTAATTTAATTGCAATAAATACAAGTACTTGACTCCGAAAGTTGCTTAAAGGCATTGATTTGGATCAAAGCTAATAGTAAATTTTTTTCTTTTTTCTTTCAGTGGTTTATTTATAAAGAGGGTTTTTCGAACAGTGGTGAACTACAACAACAAAAATTTTATTTTTTTATATTATTTTAATTAATTAAATTTTTGGGTGACCATACAGCTGTTTCGAGTATTGCCAAATACCCATCATCAGTGGTCTTGGAAATAATTCTTGTATTTAATTATTCGTAAATAATTATTGTTGAGACTGCAAGTACCAGGAATCGAACTCGGGTCCTGCCAAATGTGAAGCTCAGAATCAGCGATCAGAACCAACTGATCCAAAGCCGTACTTGACTTTTATGTTAGTATATTTTTCTGGAGTTTTATTTTGCTATGAAAGTTTTTACTAACAATTTTACTTGCTATGTTTATATTATATTATGTTAGAACGGTTTATTTATTAAATCTTTCTAAATAGAAATTGGCAATAATTTTGCAAATCTTAAAAAATTAACACGTATGCTATTGGGCTAGGGTATTCAAATTTATCAAAGATTTTCTTTTAAGACGATGTAGTTGCTTCTGCTGTTGCAGAAGATAAGTGTCGAACATTAGGATTTGAATCCAACTTGAGTCTCTCTCGGAATTTGGGTGTATATTGGCAATCAACAGTTGGTAAATTTAGGTTTTCGTGTAGGTTGTTGTCTTCGATATACCACGGACCACACAAGTAGCTTGTCGGAGCATTTAATTTTTTATTCTCTGGTTTTTTTCAATATTTGTGCTACACGCTGAACACCACAGTTCTGTACCATAGGTCCAAATTGGCGTTAATATTAATTTGTAGATTAACAATTTGTTATCGAGACTGAGTTTAGAGTTGTGATTTAGAAGCCAGTAGAATTCCTAATATTTTAAGATTTAATAATCATCTTTGGGCTTCAATATAATTTGTTCGCGAGAGCCTTCTTTATAGATGAATTTCCAGATATTTCACAGAATGTGATTGAGCTATGTCCATACTATTGATGTTTTCTTGGTAAGTGAAAAATATTCTTTAAAAAATATTAGTAGAATGAATTATAGTAGCTTTAAAGGAACATTTTTATAGACTTGTAAACGATTCTCACACATTTTTTAATACGAAATGTCATAAAAATGATCCAAAAATCAAATGCGATTTAAAACAAATATACTTCGAAAGCATAAAATTTATGTTTAACCACAAAATCTCGCAAATCTGTTCGCATATCAACACAAGGACATTGAGTTGAGCTGAGCTGAATTGAGCTGAGATACTTTAACTGAACTGACAGACTTCAGTTATGTTTGTATGTATGTATAATACTAAAATCAAATTTATCTGCTTGACAGAACTCCCAGTTGGGCTATTAAAAGATTTCGGTTTTATTGCATTTGGAGTCAGTAGTGAAAGCAGAGCTGAAAAAAATGTTTGTTTTTAAGAAAATATATAAAAAAGGTGCTTATATCATAAAAGTGGATTTGTTTGCTCAGAAAGTGGGTTATCTGTGCGTATACGTATACGTATACGTATTATTATTATTAATATTTTTTTGTTTGATTTTTAATTAAAAAATAAATAAACTCATATTGAATATTTTCCATATTCCATATATTTTGTAGCTCATAATAAAAGCTCTTCTGTTTATTTTTTATCGAACGTACCCTGGAGCATAATAAGTGGAGATGAGAATTTTTGTCAAGAATTTTCATTTCCTCTATTATTGCTGTCATGTGTAGTGAATGAAACTATTGAAAATTTTTTAACATATTGTCGTTTAGAAATTCTCCTTCTTCAAGAAAGAAATAACATAAAATAACAAAACGGAAAATAAAAGAAAATAAAACTGTCAAACCAGAGCGGATATTACGCTTTGCTTGTTGATTTAATTTTTGATATGAGCAAATCGGCGTTGTCAGTTCTTGTTATTGTTCGTAATTCAGTAGATATTTGATATATAAAAAATAAATGAAAATTTTTCTCGCAGATATAATCATTTTTAACATCGGATGCCATGGAATATTTAAACATATTACTGAGCATTTTGTCGAAATATTTTAGAGTTGAAAACTGATTACATTACAACTAACTGAATAAAAATTGTTTATTAATATCCTTTTGGGAAATAAGTAAAAAATTCTTTATTAATATCTTTTTGAGGAATAGATAAGAAGATATTTTGATGCAGAGGAAACATTTCATAGTTAAACTAAACAGTTAATGTTCTGTTCTTAAAAAAAATTTATTTCCGTTTAACTAACAAATTATTTTTTAATCAGACTAATATAATAGACGTTTTCTTTTGCAAGCATATCACAAAAGAACAACTGCTTATTTTAAAAATAATATAATATAAGAACAGTGCTCGCTTATTTAGTCCAATCTTTTTGAAATTGCTTAACTAATAAGCAGCACAAATCATATGGTTGCCAACACTAAAACTTCGTCTATTGTGAATGATTTTTGGAAGTACATACAAAACTTCCAGTTAACTGTCAACGAATGATTTCGTTAATTCTTCGTATTTCGTGTCGTCATTGTCATAACAAATATGTTATTTGTTCTATGTATTAATTTACTGTTAAAATATACGAAAAATTATATTTTATTTATAATCAATTAAAAAAAATGTATTCGCATTAATAATTGCAAAGAATTCTTATTCATTTTCGAAATTTGAAATTTAAATTTTTTTTACACATTTATTGCCCATATAAGCCGTACAAAATTTCCCTGTTGTCCAGAGTTGCCATCGCAACTAGTGCTTATTTTATCAGTTGTTTTGTGACATGTATACAAAAGAACACGAATTAAGAACTATTTATTATGGTGGAAATTAGTTATTAAGTGTTTTACAAAACCTTTGAATTAGTTAGTTTTCAGACTGTGGACAATTTAAAATGCGTTTATAGTGCATCAAGTATTTCAAGTCGAAATTTTAATTTTCTCTATATAATTAAGTTTCATTTTTATTCATTCATTGAATCTTTGTGAAATCCATACTTTTGTAAATTTTAAAACTAACAATAAAAATCTTAAATTGTTTGCATGAGTCATTAATTACTTATTGCTAAGCTCCTCGTCTACGGTTTTTCGCTATGTCACAGTTGGGGGTTTAGGCCAGCGGCTACTTTGTGTATTGCAACGTAGAGCTTGTTTTGTTATACAGAATGCTGCTCCAGTCATCATATTTTCAGTATTCTTCTTAAGCACTTCGCCATTGGGGTCTCCAGGCCAGCAGCTATATTGTGGAGTTCAATATAGGGCGTGTTATGTTATACAGGATGCTACTCCGGTCACCATATTTTTAGTATTCTTAACCACTGGTTAATGAATACTTGGATACGTGATTGAATAAATCGGTGTTTTTTCACATTTTGCATTCATAGAATAACGTTGAGTTGAGTACGAGTTAAATATTCAATACTTAGTACTACTGCTTATTTGGTTAGACTACCACACATTGTTTAACTGCTCGAAAGCTGACTTGGCGTTACTCAGCCTAACCGAAACGTCTTCTTCAACATCACTTTTATCCGTGCTGATGATGCTAAATTATGTAAACGATTTTACGTGTTCTGATGGATAGTCTCTATTGGTACGAAGAAGTAATATTGTTCTTTTCAATTCAGTGCTTCATGTTTTCAAAAATGCCCTATGATAAAGTTCACTTTATCACTGCAAATATCTATTAAGCCGATTTTTGCTACAATAAAAATATGGCAAGTCTGTTCAATGCTAAGGTGACTAATGGGCATATCATTATTTCCCTCTTTAAAAATCTAAAAACAAAACTGAATTTTTATTATTCATTTTATTTCGCTAAACTGAATAACATTTATTTAAATAATTTACGTTGTCTTTATAGATGGATGCAGTTCTCGAGTAAATCAGAAAAAAAAAATGAAAATTGTATGACACATCCTTATAGTTTAAGATATTTGATTTGGATAAAAATACTCATTGGTGTACGACATGATTATTCTCTTTTGAATTATCATTATGTTGTGATGAAAGCGTATTGTCCCGAAGTGAATTGGCATGATACCTTACGCAATTTATATGCTTATACCTTTTAAAGCAACCTTTTATAGGACATTGGTAGGGTCGATTTGCTGAATAATCTACCATTAGAACTGCATACATTATAATTTGTTCTGTAGTTAACCCACTATCTTTAACATGGGTACTATAATTGAAGTTGCTCAAATCTAGCTCCGGTATTGGCTGAACAGGGATCATGACGGATTCATTTATTGGTAACATCGCTGGTGTTGTGTTATTGCTAGTAGATGGTTTAACATTTTGCAAAATCGTCCATTCAAAATCATCGTTGGGCACATTAGTATTTGATTGAAGAAGCTCAAGATAATTGAAACGCTTACTACATATAGTGAACGATTTAATGGCATGAGGAATAGATAAGGCATTACCCTTACTATTAGGAAAACAAAGAGATGGTAGGTATAGTGAACTATAAAAAGTTTTTGATGAAGAGTTTGCGGATAATGCTTTCTTGCCACCACCTTTGACCATAGCTTGAATTGGTGTTTTTAGATTGTGACCATCTACTACATTCATTGCTTGAATTTGTGGTGCATTAGGATTAGGAGTTTTAAGCAATAATTGAATTGGCGTTATTTTATTACTGTCACTCAATGCAATGGTTGTTTGAGGTAGTGCTACGTTATTCTCATTAGGTGCAGATGTACCTGTTTGAACATTATTTGTTTTGAATCATTATTTAAGAATGGATTAAAAGTAAAAGCTATCAATCTTACCCTTTGGAATTCTTCTCCCATTATTTGGTACAAATTGCGCATTACTATGTGCTTTTTTGTTGATAGCCAAGGAAAAGTGAGACTGTTCGAAGTGGTAAATTAAAGCTGACAAATTACTGAACACTTTCGAGCAGCTTTCCTGCGGACAGGTGTGTGAAATATTTTCCATTTTTACTTCACAAATTTTATTTTATTTCTAAATTTAATTAACTTTTATTTTTCACAAAAATGACAGTTAGTATTAAAAAAAAATTATGATTGAAAATGTAGTCTGTGTTCCGTCTTAGCCACAAAGAGTTGCCATATAAGTGAGTTGCTTGATAAAAAATAATACAGAAATTTATTTCATAGCATTGACAGACGAGCGCACCAAATTATCATTAAGCAGCCTTAAATGATCATTTTAAAAATACCATGACAGACGGTATAAATTATCATTAAGAAGTTGCTGTATCATATGTTTTTTGTTATTGAAAAAGCAAGAGAAATTTATATTCAAAATGGATAAGCAAAAAAAAATAAAAGAAACTTGCTTTAATTAAATATAAAATATATAAAAAAAATATTAAATATATAAAAATATATAGATTATTTACATTTACCAATGTTTCCAAATATGTTTTGTTTACATTTTGACAGCCAAATAGCTTGAAATTCGTTCCATTTTTATTTCGTTTCGCTTGCATATGCAGCATTACCATTTCTAAAAACCTAAATGACGAATAAATTGGGTTAAATTCGGTCATTTAAAGACCATAAATGATCATTTAAAACTGCTAAATGAGCAAATAAATTATAATTTAGCCCCCTTAATGATCAATCTTTTTTTGTGACCACAAATATTATATTATAATTTATGAGCGGGCTAATTGGTCATTTAAATAAAAATAATAAAACAATAATTTATTAATTATATTTAAAACAAATTATTTTATTAAGATGTTTTCTAATATTTCGACTATCTTCGATAGCTATCTTTAGGGCAACTAACAAAATATACAATGTGAAAGTTATAGCGGAAAAATTAAAAAGAAAATCATATAATATATATAATAATAACAACAACAAAAACAGGAAGAGAATACAAATTATAGAATGCATAAACAATATCCTGTGGCATTTGTTTATAATATGCCTATAAGCCTGAGTACTGTTGTCCGTATCCGTTTTATAATTTAGTTCCTTGTTATTCGGAATTTTTAGTATTAAAAGCATTTTTAAAAAGTATGTAAAATCTTTACATTCTCAAGATCTGGTTCATGTTTGCAGTCAATACTGCCTTCAGCACCACTTTGTCTTAAGTTTGATCTTCGTCCTACCTATATATATTTTAGAATCTTTGCAGTTCTCTCATGAACAAATTTAAGACTATATTTGGTTTTTTCTCTTATTCTCAATTTTATAATTTGAATTAAGAGCAGCAACAATTTTGATCATGACGGATAGTTCATGACTTTTTGCATGATATACCCCTTATAGCTTATTTAACCCATCTTCTTTAAAACCACTTAAACGATAACCGGCTAACACCTATACTTACACCATTACTATAGATTCGTCTATTGTGAACTATTATTGGAAATTTATACAAAATTACAGTTATCTGTCAAATATTTTTTTGTTTATAACTTTCATGTTTATTTATACTAAATACATGCTGTATTCTCCCAAACTATCAGATATTTAATGTAATTTAATTTATTTAAACAACTGATACAGTTTACATAGATTTATATATGTTTTGTCTACTTTGCTCTTCCACAACTACAATTTGATGATCGGCTTTGTCGCAGTGTTGTATTTACCTTCAATAGTAGGCGTGTTCCACGAGCTACTAGTAGTAAAACTCAAGTAAAACACAAGTAAAATTTACACGAAAATACTGGTGGAACGTATTTGTGTATACACAGTGGTATTCAAAGTTACTAGGAGTAGCTCGTGGAACTGACCTATTATGTGCATAAATATGTAAATTAATTTGATTTTATGTTAAAAAATAAACTTGACTTTATAGCTAAACAAATTAAATTTATATATTACACATAATAATTATTTGTTCTGTTATATCGATGTAAAAATTAAAGCTAACATCTATTTTTGTTGATATATAATACTTTTTTCGAAATACCATAGTTTGAAAAGATTATATTTTTATTGTTTAGTATTATATAGACTAATAGATTATAGATTTCAGATAATCTGTTATTTTTAAATTATTTTGATTTGCTAATCTCAATTTATTTATTAAGCCTTGCTTGACGTCACATGATTCCAAGCTGTCTCTATACTGCGTATAAGCTATCTACAAATTGTCTCCATATTTGCCTTCTTGCTGACACTTCTCTGAGCTCAACAATATTGATGTATGATCTGCCAAGGTGTGTGGATTGGCTGTTAATTTCATTTAGTGTTGATCTGCGCCAGGTAATCTTAGGCCTCCCTTCTCTTCTACTGCCTTGCAGATTATACGTAAGGGCTTGAAAACAAACTTTACTTGACTGCGACCAATCCAGTAAGCTTTCTTAATACAAATTCAAAAAATTTGGAGAAAGCACTACGTTCTAAGTTTTTCAAATATATATTAGAGATTTCTGATAATATTGAGGATTATCAGATCCTAGGGTTTCAAAATAGAAAGCCTAGTGTGGTGTCTACATAAACAAGTTGTTTGGAAAAGTTGCATATATTTATTATAGAAAATCTATGAAAAAAAAATTTGAAGGAGTTAGGTATAATATATAATATACATAAATATATATTAGTTATTTGCGGAAATTGTTTTATAAAATCTTTTCTTTTTGTGTAATATTTTTTTAAAATTTATTAATGAATGATATAAATTTAATTTCATATTAATGAATTTAATATATAATTAAAAACTTCAAGTATTGAAACTGAAACCTCTCACATTTGTGTTGAAGTGCACATCTTACATTGCGTATCTGTAAGAATAATAACGCATATGGGAGTTTATAAATCCTTGAATAAATCTTGCGTTGAAAAGAAAATTAAATTTCATATAAAAATGCTTACGAAAATTTATAGTAACATTTTGAGGTCGCAATTATAAACGCGAAATTTATGATCTTCCGCTAAAGAATTTCCAGCTGAAACAGCAGTGAACGGAATAAAACCTACCAACTCGCATTTTGAACGCCAGGCGGTGGCAGCCACCAGTCGCTAGACACCAGGCCATAACAGCGCCGCAATATTGCAGCTTCAGAAAATTATTTTGTTCAAAATGTTTCAACCGCAATTGTAAAAAGTGACTTTAATTTATTTCCGCGGTTTGCTTAAGTACATTTTACTCAGTTTTACTCAATTGTGTGCATAACTTTTTCGTATCATCCAAAATTTGAAGCAAACACTTCAAATGCTCTTCGCAACGCGTTGAAGTTTCATCCTAAATGCCAAAGTAAATAAATAAAAAACAAAATAAGTGCATTTCCATCCACAACAGGAGTGGCCTAATTGAGTAATATGAACTCGACACTATGCGTTATCCTTTGACTTATACTGCAGATTGAATAAGAGTACTGCATTATTTCTATTAAATTTTTTTTACGTCTGAAACACTAACCTGCATTTAGATTAAAAATGAGTTTAAGTTTCTAGAATATCGAAAAGGTATATTATTATGTTGAGGCTAGTTGAGTCAGTGCACGTGAGCAGTTTTACTCTCTATTAACTGCGAGGTTTCTTCATAACCCCTCTCTACGTCTTGACTAGATTATTGTTTATCACTTCATCAGACTAAGCAATAATTGACCTCAGATCTGCATACCTCCCAGAGGCGCCTGTAACCATTCTGAGAATTGATAACGCGGTGTTAGCAAATCTATCAATTTTCGTAAATAATTTCAGGGCTCTACCCTTTATGTTTTTTTTGATCGGATCAATTTTAAGGTTCCTGTGGATGTCATTCGCCCTAATGGTTTGTCATTCGTACTTTGGTACCTTTAAAAGTCTTCTCAGAGCCTGGCTTTGTGCAATTTCAAGATAGCGAATAGTAGTGTTGGAGACCTTGCTGAACGCTAACATCCATATAGAAGTTACGGTTGAATTATTTGGTTAAATATCGGTTTCCTTCTCTTAGCATTGAGATTTTCATTTCTGAATAGCGTTTGAAGGTGATGATGAATTTTGGCACAGCTAATTCTTTTCAGTTGAACACGCTTAAGCCATGTGAAACCTTTGTTCACTGTGATGCCTAAATATTTAATGCTTTTCTCCCAGTTTATTACCATATCTCCCACTCTCACTCTCGATGGGTTCTGTCGCCTCATACGCGTAATGAACAGAGCCTTAATTTTTTCATTATTGAATTTTATTTTCCATTTCTGGAAATACTCCAGGATGAGGTTTATATGCTCTCGAAGTGTGTTAGTTATGTTGAGAGCACATTTGTTGGAGTATGGCATACACGTCAGCGTATAACGTCAGTGTCAAGGAACCTAACATTGGGATATCGGAGGTATAAATGTTGTAGAGAGTGGGGGAAACTGGAGATCCCTGAGGAATCGGGTTTTTAAAAAAGACCCATCGAGTATAATATAATTATGTTTTCGCTTGCTGCAATTTCCGTACATTTTACATAGGCTGAGGTAGACATGTCGCTCAATGCTTCTTTCTTGAATTGTTAAATTTGGCTTCAGGAATAGAATATGTCATAGGGCGTCATTTCACGTTAGTACTGTGGTTGCACGCCATCTACATATACAGGGTGCTTTCTTATCCTTTTCCACTTTTGTAGGATTCTTGAACCAAGGAATATTCTCCTGCATTTATGTTGTTTTAATGGGAAACGTCCAGTATATATACGAAAACGGTTAAGCTTTTGCATGTATAACAGACAATGAGAAGTTCTACGAATATACACATGCTAAGTAGATTGTATTTATATATCATACACCTTCTGCATTGAAAACTTTAATCGCAGTGACTGAAGAACTTTTGTTCTCATTGATTCTATTGCTGGTACTGATTACTACAACTTTTAGCACTACTCAGGAATTAGTTTGAATTATTAACAATCCTTTATAGACAATATATATAAGTAACATATCAGTTCAACTGATGTGATACTCCTATAATACAATAATATGAATAAGGTTGATTTAAGTTATCAATTCAAAGTGGTGTTATCTGTCTAAAGAGCTACGCCAAAAGTTATT